AAAAAATTAAATTTGAAACAAAAATTGGAAAAAAAATTTTTTCTATGATTTTAATATCAAAAAAAAATTTTGCAACAGTTTGGTTAAAAAAAAATTTTTTTGAAACCATATTTTAACCTCTAGCTGCTTTTCAAAAGTATTACCGAATTTATTGCTTCCAAGTGTGGTATGCTCTTATTGGAAACCCCTCCAGGAAACATTTACACATATGAATACATATGTAAGTCCTTACAAAAAGACTCACCTACATATGTACCTACATACATATATATTCTACATAAATGACCGGAAGGCAGAAATAATTTGCGGCAATTTGAAGGTGATTGCAGCGTAGTGTTGGTTTATGAAGTATCTGAGAACTTCCAGAATACAACAAAAATTTATATTTTTTGTTGTTTTGGCTGGTGTGCGAAGGCACTTCCTCTAAAAAAAAAAATAGAAATATGCAAAGTTGCGAAAATTAAGCTGGAAAAGTAATAGCAACGATAAAAAATAATAACAACAATATAAAAAATTACCAACAACAAAGAAACAAAAAAATAAAACAACAAAAAACGGCAGTTTACGATTTCATTGTCATAAAAATTCACATGAAGTGGCGATAAAGGTTTACAAGCCTGAATATATGTTTGTATGCATATTTATATATGTACGAGTACATACATGGACGAATATACTATATGTATGTATCCACAGAAGCTCTGAGAGGTCATTCAGACATACCAAGTTTACCAAATACGACTGGAATAGAAGTAAACATTAAAAGCGAACAGAAATATATTATATGTATATTCTTAAAAAAAGGAATCGTCGCAGCAGTCATATTTGAGTGATGATAATATTCGAGGCGCTGATATGCAGACAGCAGATATCTGACAGTTGCTTAGAAACTGATGATAATATGGCAGTAATTTTGGTACAGATAAGTAGCCTCAATAACCCAGTACCTGCTAACCCTTTTACAGACATCTTGTTTGTTCTGAGACCAGTTGTATCTAAGACAAACTAGAAAATCTGAAATCACTCTACTATTAAGATCAACTTTCCCATAACTTTTACGAAAGCTCTGTGAGCTTTTAATAGAATACTCAGAAGGTTAAGAAGGTTAAGAAGAGATCGATCCTTATTTAATTTATAAACTTTCAAGAGAAATAACGAGAGTTCAAACTACTTCATGGTCCTATTTTAATGTAAAAAGGACTGTGCTGCTTCTTGAAGCCTTTTTTAAGCGAAGCATCTCGAAATATTGTGTTCTGTTCTAATTTGTGCTCAGTAGCCAACTTTAGTCTGGGTAGATGGATTTGAAAATGATACTAAAAACTTTTAACTTCATTAGAAAGTAAAATTAAGACCTTCCCTGGTCCAAACCGCTATATAATCAAAATGCATTCGACAAAAACAACTTTGCAGCCCGATAAAATCGCTGATATTTTGACAAACAAGTATGTACATATAATGCGATTTTTTGGGAGTCAAAAAGAGTCGAGTGTCAAAAATAATAAATGAGTATTCAATTAAAAAAGCAAAATAAAGAATAAAAAAACAAGTAAGGAAGGGCTAAGTTCGGGTGTCACCGAACATTTTATACACTCGCATCAAATACCGCATTTGTTTAAAGTGTTATTCCGCTATCATCATTGGTTCCTAATGTATATATTATACAGAGAAGGCATCAGATGGAATTCAAAATAGCGTTATATTGGAAGAAGGCGTGGTTGTGAACCGATTTCACCCATATT